TTCACACATGTTATCCGGAGAAGTGTGTGTCAATTCATATAAAAGGACATCATCTGTCGATATGGACCTCTAGAGACCTTGATCACGGATAATGCATAAAATTTCAATAGCAAGATGATCACAGAGTTATATGAACAGTGGAAAATCAAGCATTGCAATTCTTCACCATATAGACCCAAGATGAATGGGGCCGTGAGAGCTCGTAAATAAGAACATAAAGAAAATCATATAGAAAATGATAATCAAATACGGAGACTAGCATGAAATGCTATCATTTGCATTACATGCTTATAGGATGGCGAGTGAGGACATCGATTGGGGTAACTCTTTACTCGTTGGTATAAAGGATGAAGGCGGTGGTGCTCATGGAAATAGAGATACCTTCTCCGAGGGTGTTAAAAGAGGCAGAGCTAATTGAGTCAAAATGGGCCCGAATCGGATATGAACAGACTGAATTTGATTAGTGAGAAGAGACTAGTAGCTATTTGTCATACATAGTTGTATCGAAAAGAATAGCTCAAGCATATGATAAGAAAGTCCGCACAAGAACTTTTTGTGAAGGGGACTTAGTCTTGAAAAGAGTACTCTTGATTCCAAGTGGCAAAAAGAAGTAAGTGGGCACCTAATTATGAGGGTCCGTATGTGGTGAAAAGAGTATTCTTCGGAGGAGCCCTCCTCTTGATGAAGATGGATGGTGAGGTCTTGTCAAAGCCGGTGAATTCGGATATTGTAAAAAAATATCATACTTGAGCATACGAAGTTTTTCTTTGTTCTATTACAAAAAGAAAATAATCAAAATTATATTGAATATTTTCTAGTTTAATCATTTTATCTTTGCATCTCTTTTCTTTTTGCCCATCCTATATAAACAATTCTTGATTTTTTTTAATCTATCAAAATAACTCCGCTCCCTCACAAAGGTGATCAATCCCCGAAAGATAAACAAAAACCTTTTATTGATCTCATGCACAATCTCATGTTTAATGTTATTTATGAAGAATGATAACATAAAAGAGGAAAAATGATAGGAATGATAGGAATTTTATTCACCCTTGATAGATGAAAAGGCTTTTTCATAAACCCTTTGTGCAAAAAAAAAAACGATGAATAAGTAGATGACAATGATCAAAGGTTGCTTCAACGAGTTCCAAAGTACACCCCCATCAATATGCTATAGCAAGAAATAAGGCATTTGGGAATGACGAGTCAAATTATGTGTGTAAAAAGCCGAGTGGCCCAAAAAAAAAAAATTGATTGAGGAGATGTGCGATTAAGTAGACAAAAATCCACAAGAGCGGGTAGCCTAAAAATCATGAACCTAGTCCAATGAAAATGAATCATAGCTAGGAGGAAAGGGTATGTTTTGGTGGTAATAACTAATGTTTTTTTCTCGGGAACGTCACTCACACTCCGATGCATCATTGAGTAAAGGTCACCTCCTCGACCACGAAGACGATCACCCGCATTAACCTATATTTAGAGGAAACCTTCTATGATGGTTCTCGCTGATTGATTCGTGTGTTGGTCTGTCCTTCTATGATCTTCTTTACAAACTTACTATACAAAGCAAAAAAAGTCAAAATCTTCAATGGCTTCACATCTTAAGCTTTGTAAAAAGGGGGCAACTGTTAGCACTCAATTTTTGTTCCAAAAAGAAAAAGAGAGAGAAGAGATAAAAAAAGAAAAAAAGAAAAGAAAGTAAAAAAAATAATAATACAAGTGGGGGTGCAATTGAAAAAGAAAGGAGAAAAGAACCAAAATAAAGTAGGTTTGTAAAATGAGGGACCAAAACAGATTTTAGCCAAAAAAACCCTAAAAACCTAATATAAAAACACCCCTTTCTCCCAAAAAGGGGCATATACTATTCACCACCCTCATAAAAAACCCTAGCCGCCGACCTCCTTCATTAACGAGTAGCCTCTAACAACTTTCCCTCCTCTTCCAAGCGCACCCCACGACCCCCTACAACTCCAACTCATAGCAAGCCAAGCACACATGTGCGCTAGATAGCCCGTAACGAGCTAGTGCAAGCTAACGTTCGGCAGGAACTCCCGTGCGCATGGCCTCACGCCTACACCCGCCATCGCTCCCTACCGGGCACTCTCTCGCGTACAACCGGATCCCAGCACTCCTTCAACGCACCCGCCCTCTAAGCCTCCGCAACGTTCGCACGTACCCCAATGCTAAACACAACATATGCCTTGCCCAGTCGCGCCTCACCCACGAGCCTACCAGCCTCCCCGTGCCACGGCGCCTCACCCATAGGCTTGCCAATGAATGCCTCGTCCCGGCTGCGTGCCTTGTCCCAAGCATGCGCCTCGCCCAACTTGCGCCTCACTCCAAGCACGCCAGCGAACTCGTCAATAGCCATCACTTTCACCTACCTTTCCTCCTCGATTGACTAAGTATTGGTCTCTATCGGGGTTGAAAAGGTCGGATCCAACTTCGAGATCACCAAGCGAATATGTCCAGCTTCGTTTTCTTTACAATAATTTTTTTCTCACTTTTTATTTCTTTTATTTTTATTTTAACATGCATTAAATTTGATTCATATTGATATGTGTTATGTAATTGATTAAATGGTAGTGTTATGTAATTAATTCGATATGCTCGTTCATATGTAATTAATCCGAATTATGGTGATGTGCATTGCTTCGAGTTCGTGATTTTTGTGAATAAATTGAATGTATATTTTTTTTAAGTGTGTCTTGTATGGTAATTTTATTTACAAAAAAAAAGAAGGCACCATGTCGATTCAAATAAGTTTAGATCTTTGCAATGTAAATTCGTTCATCAAGCCTAATTAATTATGCATGTCAAAACAACTAATTTCATCGATTTCTATTTTTGTTGATTTTAGCTTGATGGTCGATTTTTGTTTTTTTTTTTTTTTACCTCCATTTGCTTAAGTTTGCCAATTTTTACCTATATTAGCTTAAGTCGTTGATTTACGCCTATGATTACCTCAATTGTCGATTTTTACTTATTTTTGCCTAAAATGTCGATTTTCACGTATGATTGCACAAATTGTTGATTTTCACATTACTTCGCCTAAATTATCTATTTTTTTTCCTATGATCGACTAAATTATTGATTTTCATAATCACTTACAAGAGAGGAAAAGAGGCGAGAGCCAAAGAGATTTAGGTTATTAGGTTTTAAAAATTTTGAGGTTTGAGCGTTTGGTCGGTTAATAATTAGTTATTGGTGCATTAGTTCTTCTTTTTTATTAGAACTCTACCTAATACCCATGTGACATTGGCACACAAATTGGGTTTAATTATTATTATTTTTTTTATTTGGGGTATATAAGTAGTATTTTTTTTCCTAAAAAAATAAAAAAGGCCAATTGCCCCTTATTAGTGGTTGGGCCACTGCATAAGGAAAAACTTTTCATCTAGCTTCAATTTCATCTCAGCCCATGTACTCATTCTTGGAAAACCTCTCCTATCCTAGCTTTTTTGATAATCTTGCCACCAAATTAAAGCACGTTTCTTTCAACTTTGTTCCCATATACTGAATCTTGCTTGCATCAATAACATTTTTCCATTCAAAGAAAGCTTCTAAGGAAGCAATCCAATCACGGTACTCATCTATATTGAGCCTTCCATCAAAATCTAGTACAATTACTTGTATGCTTATATCTGCTCCTTCAAAGAAAGCTTTTAAGGAAATAATCCAATCGTAGTACTCATCTGCATTTATGCTCCTCCATCATTTTCTTTGTTTGCAACCACTATTTTTATTTTTATTTTTATTTTTTTAATTGCAAAAGTCCTCTTAATTGAGACATACAATAAAGAACTCATAAAATATTTTTGACTACCAAAGTGGGAGTGTCAATTAAATTTAGTTCTTATACCCACAAAAGATTTTTTTTTCCCCCAGACATGAGGTAAACATTCACATATTGAGAGGGGGGATCTTATATCCAAAATTCTTTTTTAACAATTGCTTAAAAGTGGAGGAGAAAATGGGCAATTCTAGAGGAAAAAAAAAAAAAGTTACGCTTCCTAACAATTAGAAAGAAAGTGAATAGTTACAACCAAAAAAAAAAAAAAAAACATGATCAAGTGGAATATAGGGCGTGAAGAAAGTACAGGAGAACATTGAGCTTTATGAAAAATCGTGAAGGAGCCATCAGCCTATAAATACAAGCTCCAATGAAAGAAAATAAAAATCAACAATAATAAGCTCAACAATACTTGTAAAAAGCAAAAAAGCTCTCAATGGACTGTCCCAAGTTTTAGCACTTCTAAAACTTGTTTAGTAGATTGTAGGCTAATAGATTTGTAAACTGATAAATTTCAGGCTAATAGTTTAGCTTTTTGGTTTCATTTTGCATCACAAATCTTTATTTATGATCGTCAAGAATTGAATTGTTGTGAAAATATCATATCTAAAGTAAAAATCTTAGTTAGAAAGCATCTACTTTCATTAATAAACGGAAGTTTTCTTTAAAATTTTTAGCATTGTTAAATTTGCACCTCATTTTTCTGTGTTTGCAACCACTTTTTTATTCTTTTGTTACAAAACTTTTCTTAATTGAAGGAGAAACTAAAGAACCCACAAAATAGAGAGGAATGAGGGGTGACATTGCTTGTGCATATGATGTCATTTATGAGGTAAGGCGAAAGACCATGTTGGTATTGCCATTATTTATAGCATTTTCTCAGGTCATTTTGCACATTCAAAACTTCTCACTTGTAGGCTACCAACCTAATTAAATAGTATTCCTCCTTGATTTAGAAGGCCAATACTTCCTAACGACTACAACCCTCACCTCTATTATGAGATCCATCGCAGTAGTAACTCCAATGATTTTGTCCCGGGGTCTCTCTCTCACGCGCAAGCCATTCTTTCCCAGTACAATCTGTCGCTCTCTTAATTGTTCTTAATAGTTTTTAAATCAACAGCTTAATTATCATCTTAAGCTATATATTATTGTGTGCCCTCCTCCCCTGCAGCCACAAGTCGGTCGTTCGGGACTTTCTATGAGCATGAGAACCTTAACGTTATTCACAGCTTCAAAGTTTCCAAGTAAGAGTTGATGAAATATTATCAACCTTGATTATTCCCTTGATCTTTTTTCGTTAATATTATTGAATAATTGTCATTATTGGCCTTTAATTTATGACCGGATTTATGATTTTCCATTGATAGACCATGGTGCGGCAATTATAGGCTACGCAGTAAGGAGATTCCGAAGTGCGGACATCGTCTCTCATTTTCCATCTCATATTCAGAGAATTGCTCAGTTCATGACGATTTCCCTATTTTTGATGGGGATGGTAACCATGCCTTGATTATTCCCCAATTTTCTAGATGATATTATGGCTCTAATCACTTTCTGGTTGAAGTATCTTACATACTTCTCTATATTCTTTTGGGTCTAAATTTTCTACTTTTGTATAAACTTTTGATCACATGGTAAATTATTCTGAAAGAAAAAAGTAACAATTATTTAAATTAGAATTTGCAAATACATTACAGGACCTGATGTTAAGGTATCGTCAGCCTACATATGGATTGAGCCAGCAAGGAATATTTGCTTCCGGCAGATGAAAGCAGGCAGTGGTGACGATTGCGTGAAGGACGGGAACAAGGTTTTTAATTTTTCCTTTAATTCTTGGAAATTACAGTTTCCTTCCTTGTATTTTATCACGTATAACGTTTTGTATGGAAAATTGATCATCCATGATACATGATCAAGGGCAGTTCATCTTCCTTGTACAATATCATGTTCTGTCTTATTTTTCCTTTTCTTAACTTGTTCGAGATTTGGGCTAGTTGCTTTATTCCATTACCTGAATTCACCTCTTAACTATTTGGATTCTATGCAGGTAAAAATTCGCTACGAGCTTTATGATAATCAATCTCGCAAATTGCGTTACAGCACTTACTCAAAACAGGATCCTGAAATATTAGGTCCAGGCAAGAATGAAATATGTCAAGGTGAAAACATAATTTTTGGCACTTTTGGATTGCTATATCTTATCTTCATATGATACTGGGATAAAGTTGCTAGAATATGGAACATATATATGCAGGACTGTACGAAGGAATTGTAGGCATGCAACTTGGGGAAATAAGAAGAATCGTCCTTCCTCCGTCTTCGGTCAGTACTTTCATATCTTATTTTTTCTTTGGGTTTTTTGTTTGATCAAGACTACTACTCATAGTTTTAAATAACGAACGGGTGAAAAAACAATGACGGATTGCGACTTACTATAATATTAAAATAAAGATAATGGGATGCTTTAAAACCGTTATATAACGGCCGTTATACAACATAACGGGAGTTATTTAAAACTATGATCACTATTCTTACTATTTTTAGGAGGTTCAATATTTTGTCTCAGACTATGCAGAGGTTCATAATTTTTGTATTGGTGAGATCTCATGTGATTTATTTCTTACTAATAGTGAATTTTGTTCCCAAAATCTTTATCTATGTTTCCTTTTTGTCAAGGACTTGACCCGCGAGCACTCAAAGAGTGGGTACTGGAATATTCAGAAGCTGTTGCCAAACCAGAAGCCATCCGCTGACTCTGAAGAATATAGAACTTATGATGTGAAGTTGCTCAAAATCATTCCATGACCAGCTTGAGGAGACCAAATAAGGGGTATGATGGGGTTTGTATTTTCACGTGTTAAAACTTTCTTCAGCTAGTGGAGTACTGTAGCGGAGGATGGGGCATTTTAAGTTTTAGTAGGTGGTGTGTTTGTATTTTCATGATGGGTAAAGGTTGCAATTGGATGGATATTTGAATTAATCAAAATGGGTATGGATCATGTTTTATCTACTATTCATTTTTGACCCATTTATTTTTTAAATGGATATCTATATCCACTTAAACTATAATCTCTCTTCTATCCATCAATTTATTTAAACTTTTTTTGTCTAAATTTGATTAATTGATTAAATTGTATTTACTATAAAGTATGAGGACTAAAGTATGAGGACCAAACAAATCCAAATAAGGATGAACATTTCCGAAAGTTTGATATTTCACGAACTATGGTTTAAAATGGGTAAGATCATAACCCTTAGAGCATCTCCAATGCTCTCTTTATATTAAGATTTTTCTTTATAATAAAGAAATTTGATCCAAATTTTATCTCCAATGCTCTCTTTATCACAATCTCTATCTTTAAAATTGATATAGAGAGTGTCTTTGGCTCTCCAATACTAGAGAGTCAAAATGACTCTTTATCTTATTGTTTATTAATAAAAATTACTATTTCCTATGCCACTCAACCTCTTCACCAATAGTCTCTCTAGGTTTTATAGATTTTGTCAAAATAAAGAGTTAAGTAGAAAGTAGCATTAGAGCATCTCCAATGCTCTCTTTATATTAAGATTTTTCTTTATAATAAAGAGGCTTGATCCAAATTTCATCTCCAATGCTCTCTTTATCACAATCTTTATCTTTAAAATTAGTATAAAGAGTGTATTTGGCTCTCCAATACTAGAGAGTCCAAATGACTCTTTATCTTATATTTTATTAATGAAAATTACTATTTTCAATGCCACTCAACCTCTTCACCAATAGTCTCTATGGGTTTTATAGATTTTGTCAAAATAAAGAGTTAAATAGAGAGTAGCATTAGAGAGGATATTGATCTTCTATCTATATAATTAATGATACTCTCTATTTACATTAAAAATGCTAGCTAAAAGTAAAGAGCACCATTGGAGATGCTCTTAGAGAGAATATTGATCTTCAATCTATATACTTAATGATGCTCTCTATTTACATTAAAAATGCTAGCTAAAAGTAAAGAACACCATTGGAGATGCTCTTACCCGATAGCAGAGCCTCACAACACTCGCAAACGCTAAAATAGGAAGGGCTTAATTACCTTAAGATGTATACTTGGCTCGGTCAGCGTGACATTGAAACTAAGGTCCTAATGAAACTTTTTATTTTTTATATACTTGTAATATATAAATAACCCAAAAATGTTACTATTGCTTTGATTTAATTCATAAGTTTACTTAAAAAAAATTTCTCAAATTTGATAAGTTTATATGTAAAAGATTATTCTCAAACTAAAAAAAAAAAAAATCATGTACATTTAAAGAAAATTTGGTGTATTTAATTTGATTCTTATGAAATACCTTAGGAGGAAGGAAAAAAAAACTATATGGCTTCTTCGAAAATTAATAAAAAAGAAACTCACTTGATTTTTCATAACTAGCTTTTACGTGGTTATATTACACGAGCAATACCTAGAAAATTATCTCAACTCGTCCTTATATTTTATGTATAATTTTCAATATGTCTCTACAAGTATTATTGTTCCTAATTTCTCCTTGAATATTGTACTGTTCTTCGATCTATCTTTATATTAAATATTTTTATTTAAAATGACAGATATACCCTTACATGGGAAATTTATAACTAACCTAATTTATTTTTAAAAAAATCACCATAAAAAATAATAATTTTCACACAATATGACAATTTTTTTTCAAATTTTTAGGTGGGATTTGAGTTTTTCCCGTAATATCTACAACTCCTTAAATCTTTGATTCTATATAAATCTTTAATAAATCCTTGGATTTCTAATAAATAAATAAATAAATAAACTAGGAGGGAGGTAGCCCTCTCTAGTCCCTAGTAGGCTACGTCCCCTGCCTTTACCTAATCCTATATAAATAAAGACACAAGTAAAGATATAGATCGGTATTTTAAGGTATTGTTTGATGATCGAAATAGAGTAATGAAAATGTGAATACGGGAATCATAATGAAAATTAAAAAATCGAAATTATATTTCTATTTTCATACTATGTTTGGAATACTAATGAGGAATCGAAATACAATTTAAATTTTTTAATATCTGATTTTTTATACAAATAAAAATAATAATTAAAAAAATAATTTTATTAAACTATAATAGTTGTAAAAATAATAAAGGTGATGGCGGTGATTGTTGTTATAACGGTGGTGGTTCTAGTGGTGGTAGTGGTGGTAGTGTGGTGATTGTGATAGTGGTAATGCTTGGTGGTGGTGGTGTGGTTGTGATGGTGGTGGTGACGGTAAAAGTATTTAATAGACAATAAATAAATAAAATATATTATTATTTTGAAAAAAAAATTATTCTTATTCCTTGTTTTTATTCCAACTTCTTATATGGGAATGAAGTTGTGTGTAAATTTTCATTCTCATTCTCACTCTCACTCTTCATTCCTATTTTCATTTCATTTCATTTCTTTTAATCAAACGAGCTATAATGTGAAAATAAAACTTTCATTCTCATTCTCATTACTTTATTCCCGACTACCAAACAATACCTAATTATTTTATAGCTCATACAAATAAATATGTACATGTGTGTCTTCAATGTTGGTGTCTATGAATTTAGCCTATACATATAAATATGTAAATTCTTTAAAGATGCAAAAGCTTATGTCATATAAAAATTCTCAACAATGCTCCAAAAGAGATAGGCATGGACGTCGGTCGATGCATTATAGGCTTATTTTAAGACACAAAAAATGTGCCTTTATTGGCTAAAATCGATGTCTTAATTTTATTTGTTTATTTATTTATTTTGGTAGTGAGCGATGGAGTTTAGAAATTTGTATTTCAAGTGTTGCTTTTTGCAATTGTTGCTTTGTTTGGACTACATTAGATTATTTGTTTGCAACGATCCTCTATGCTAGTTAAGTCCATCATTTGATGTAATCGATATTCAATAAAGATCATGTTGCTTCGACTAATCGATCTAAATAATCTTTTATGCTCTCTTACGATTCTTATTTACAGCATTTGAGTTTCCTGCTTGGGAATGCAAAATTTTGGCAATAACTAGGATCTTAATCTTAGTGGGTTCGAACATATTCTGCCCTGGAATTCTTTGTTTTATATGTAATCATATTGGACCATGTATTGTAGCCTATGAAATATGGAATCATACAAGTGACCGAAGGAAATTTTATACTACGCTTTGTAACCGTTGAAGACCAAAGGTTTGGAGCAAGCTTTTATATTCAAACATTTGCATGGACATTGTTAGCCAATAGGCTTTTGTGATATGGGCTTCGGTATGTTCTCTTTCATTAGGTTAAAATGTTCCCTTTATTACTTCGGGGCTAAGACTTTGTTTTCTTCTATGCCCATTATGATCTCTTTGATCAAATTGATTTGGTGCGTTAAAATAATAATAATAATAATAATAATAATAATATGTTATAAAATAAATAGAACTAATAGGAAAATTGAAAAAAAAAGATTACAAGAAAATAAAATCACTATAATGTGAATATAAGGGATAAGAACTTCAAAGTTTCTTTTATTCTTTCTAGAAAACTTGTATACTAACTAATGAACAATCAAGCCTATTTATAGGCTTCAAAATTGAGGAGAGAATTGAAAGGGACTATGAATAATCAATTGCATCACCTTTTCAATTTCTCATATTGAATGATGAATTGAATCATATTAAGAATCATAAGTAGTGGAGATATGAAAAGTGGATGAACATGATGATGGATATTCATTATTTCATAACACTTCTCCTTGAATGTCCATTGTACAAGGAACATGCCTCGTTAAAACCTTACTAAGAAAAAACCCGAGTGGGAAAAAAATCCTAGTGAAGGAAAAAGAGTATAATATTCCTTGTACACATTAATCCCTATTTTGGTCTCCCCTATTGAAGGCATTATTTAAGATCTCTAGGACGATGCATTCCAATCTTATCAAATATCTTCTTAAAAGTTATGGTAGGTAATGCTTTAGCGAATAAATCTACTTGGATTGTCACTTTGATGTATTCTTCCTTCAATGGAATTATGCAAGCAACATTATCCTCATATGATATTGTTGGAACTTCTTTTGCTGGTAGATAAACTATATGTCTCTCGGATACAATGGATCGTTGATCTTAACCAAAAACATTCTCAACTTGCCTCGTGAATTGATATTTACGTATGATTTGAAGATGTGCTAGCTATAGTTTGCTTCATAGACCACCAAGATATAACTATATCTCCATATATAAATATATAACCAGTTGTGATCAAGCTTTGTGTAGATTAGATAAATAACCTACATCCGTATAACCAATTAATCTTGTCTTTGATTTATTAGAGTAATATAAGCCCATAGCAATTATTCCTCGAAGATAAAGTATTATATATTTAACTTTATTTCAATGTTTCTACATTGAAATAGAACTATGACTTGCTAATAAATTTATAGAAAAGACTATATCAAGTCGAGTATTATTAGCAAGATACATCAATATACCGAGTGGCACTAAAATATAGTACTTCAAGACCAAGTAGTTCTTCGTTATCTTCTCGAGGTCAAAAGGGTCTTTTTGGATATCAAGTGAATGAACTACCGTTGGGCTAGTCAATGAATAATCTTTATATAGAATCATTGTAGAACATTTTTCTATATAAATTGACTGATGACTAAAAATCTCTTTCTCCGAATGCTCGAACTGCGAGTCGAGATAACATTTTATTTTTCTAAGGTATTCTCATCAAATTCTCTTTTTAGGTAACTTATGACACTTGGAATCTCTTCAGGAGTTCCAATAATATTTAAGTTATCAACATATACAACAAACCCCTTTTGAA